TACCCTTTTTTGAAGAACAATGTAGTTTTAGAAATGTATCCCAAAAGTAGGCATATAACACTATAAGATTCACACGTTGGAATATCCGATAAATAGTAAAAGAAGAATCTAGCCGAATTTTTTTTGCAACTGTCTTCAATATATACATACTAAATGGACCGCCTTCGAGACTTAATTTGTTATAATTGATCTTCCAAAAATTCAAACGCGAAATATGTGTCTGAAACGTTAATTTCTAAATTGAATGACTAAATATGGTTCTTTCGATGTGCAAAAGCTTCATTTATACTGCATACATCTTGCATAAGTATGCTGGATTTTGAGTGGTTGATTGCCAGAGTATTTTCCGTGTATTTTCTTTTTGCTTCGCAGTCGATATACACGCCATCTTGAAATAATTACTTATCACATAAAGATTCTGATTGGTTGCATTATGATTCGGGTGAGATACAGCAACAGCTATTGGCTTAAATGAGATAAAGAATTACAGACTTTTCTCGTCTCAGGATAAGACATCAAATGTAGGAAAATTAACTATGTGTATTTCAATTCCGATCAATTGTTATTAATTCATGTTCGTTTTTCATGCAAATATTGCACACTGAAATTCAATATTGAAATATCATTTTTTAACACCTGTTTATTTGCTTTGTTAAACTGTATATATATACGATTTGTTTAGCTAAACAATGTTCCTTTACAAAAATGCAGGAATCTGATGTACAGTAGTTGTCGTCTGTTTATGTAGTTCATACGTGTTTCTCGTTTCTCGTTTTTATATAGATTAGACCGTTGGTTTTCCCGTTTGAATGGTTTTACACTAGTACTTTTTGGGGCCCTTTATAGCTTGCTGTTCGGTGTGAGCCAATGCTCCGTGTTGAAGGCCGTGCCTTGACCTATAATGGTTTACTTTTACAAATTGTTACTTGGATGGAGAGTTGTCTCATTGGCACTCATACCACATCTTCCTATATCTATTATCTGTATTTTATAACTTTTGCTTATCTGGGCACACCTCCGAAGAGGCACACCTCGAGAGTCGTGTTTACCGTCTCTTTTACTCTTCACGGAGACGCTTGATCATTTGTGCGTTTAATCAAATGCGACTGTTTGGCTAACGTCTTGATAGCCTAAGAACACTGCTGGAATTTGGTTCGAAATCGAATAGTTTTAAATTGACTATTGATATTCGGTATACTTAAACAGATATAGCATGTTAAGAAATGTGTTTGCGCAAAAATACCAGTCTTCAGAAGGAATTTCCTTCGCATCGAAGCTTATATAGGAAATTTAACCTTCCTCTTGACTGGTATTATGTGGTAACTGTTGGGTCGTGCACTCCACATTGTACAATTTACATCGCAATTGTAGAATAGATTGAGAAAAACAAAAATCGTAAGATGTTTACTTTTTTCAATAATATTTGGTTTTGAAATGAAGACACAGGTTTCTAGGAAACTACTAGTCTAAGAGAAACATTAGAATTCAACATTGAATTACTAAAATTGCAAAATGAATCTTTCCTGTTGTTTTTAACTTGAACTTCTTAACAATAGCCATAGGATCGTTGTTTTAGGAATTATAGACAGTTCATATAAAGGAAATACAAGAATACCACCAAAAAGGACAATCGGATATATTACATGAAAAAGCAGTCGCAGGAAACATACATTTGACGAATAGCTATAAAGGTATCACATTTTGTCATACACAAGGTTTCAACAGATATTTTTGCGGCAATGTAAAATTTCCTTTTAAATGCAGCTGTTACGTGGGGTTTACTTTATTCATTATACTTGAGACTCACTGCTGGCAATAATTCAAAAATGAAGACTATTTTTTGTAAGGCACTTGAAACGTTTTGTTCTATTAGGGGAATATCGTCCATTCAATATGGCCACAATCAGCCATTTTAGTTTATAAACACATTAGCCGTATTTTGTTGTTTTTTTTCTCTGTAGAAGTAAATACTCGGCCATCGTCGATTTTCACACTGGGATAATGTTTCGAAGCATAAAAATCCTTCAGTGACGCAAATAAATAGTGATGTTTACTGTCCTTTAATTTGTTCAATCAGGAACTATCAATCAATTAAAACCAAGATTCACAATTGAGTGTAAAAACGCAACAAGAATTACAAATATTCCCAATTTAATACCTGCTGTTTAAATTCATTTCATTAAACCAATAACGCATACAAGAACTCGGTTCCATTGACCATGTTAACACCACTTTTAATTCTTTTCAATCTGAATACAGACAAGACGCCATTTATTTTATGCAATCTCAATTTTCAGCTTCAGGAAACTGTTATATATTAAACAGTCGTACTTTATTGCGGATTGAAAAACAAATAGAATATTTATTTCGTTTATTGGGAAATAAAGATATTTTATTTTCGAAATAAAATAACTGTTGAACTCATCTCGGGTGAAACTTAATAGAAATCATCAGAAATCATTAGAATTCATTAATTGGACATGAAATTGAAAAGCCAGTCTTATCGGAATTCATCGGATTTTACTCTGCATTAGATATTATATGCATTGATTCTTAATTGAACAAAATCACATCTTTTGTCTATTTAATTATAAATGTCAAAGCTAATAAGAAAAATGAATTTAGTGAAACAAAACATCAGATAAAAGGTTCTGCGGCATACTTCCGGACTTTAGAAGTGCACCGAAGGAATACCGTGGTGTTCGGTACATATTTTATTCCATCCTTAAAATGACAGATTTTAATGAACATTTTCATATGATATATTAAGTACATTTCTTGACGCAATTGTTGGAATTGAAAAAAAAAAACATATCGTGTTATAACTATAAAATAATCAACTAGCAAGTATTAAAGAGTATTTTAAAAGTGTTATGTAATTTACAAGATGTAAGACGAGAGAAAAAGATTTCCACACGTTATATTTATTCTTAAGCAAACTTCTTGTTGCTAATGATCGCAATAGTTACAATGTTAAAGGCAGTCGACGTGAACTGAAGAAAGTTTGCGGATATTAAGATTGTAAGTATATATATAATATTTATTCCGTTTGAATAAATTGATATGTATTACGGTAATCATTTTTAAAATGTCGATGGGGGGTAATGATGGTAAGAAATAAGTGATTGTACTATTCGTTCCATTTTGAAGATATGTACAACACCTTGAAGATTTATTTAAGAAATGAATGCTTCTTTTTGTAATTTTATTGGGGTAAAAGTGTTGACCGAAGCACATTTTGTATGAAGCGCGGAAAAATACAAGTGTTATCATGCTTTGATAATGACACTTTTTATTTGGCGATAAAAATTACAAACAGTTACTGCAGAAAATTCAATGGTTTCTTGTATAGATGTGGTAAAACTTGTAATGGAAGGGTTGTTTGAAATGTGGATAAATTTTAATATTACAAATATAAAAAGTACAGAGGCTGCTTCCCGGACCAAAATAATCCACATGACTCTGCAAAAAGAGTTAAAAATGACATGTTTGAAGATAAACGTGAAAATCTGTTGAATTCTGAGGTTATCGTCGGAATCCTTAGGTAATCCTAGTCTGGTTTTGTTAGTTTTTTTTTTATAATCTAAAAATTTTAAGCGTTAAACTTTCGGATTTTTTCAAACTTTTAGGATTTTCAATATTAGGTGTCGAGAATTATTGACGAAAAATACATTTTTAGAGTGTATCAATCTAAATTTGGTGACTTTTTGAATTTCATCGATGGGTTGTTATTGATAGTTGAGCATAGTATTTTTACATTGCTTTTTACTGTATCGATACGTCAGCTGAGTTTATTGTTGCTGTTGTTAACTCACGATGTTACAGTCTACAGTCTGCTTTATAGACAAATCTACTTCCTATACTTTATGTCCTTTTTGGTTTGATCAGCTCTTCAACGCTTATAAACCTTTTGGTTTTTCCAATATTTTAACTTCAAGCATCACTTGAGAAACATTTATTGTCGAAATGCGCATCTGTTACAGTACGGTTGGTACCTTTAATGTTATTTCTAAAACAATTATTGTGACTACGAACCAACCAGTTTTTTTCATTTCTTCTAAATATTCCGTGTTAATCTGAGGAGCAGCAAATACCATTTTAATGTATTTGGATTGATAAAGACTTGGATTATCCCCTCAACCTCCCACATTCGAGGTTAATACGCTACCCTGATTATACCATTAATATGGCTTCTTTAAGTTTGAGGAAGTAGGATTCTACGACATCATTTTTTTTAAAGTTATATTTTACACCAAGCTTTTAAAGCAATCCTATTTATAATGTAAGCAAGTTACAAAACTGCTTTGTTAATTTTTCTTTAAAGCTATAATTACACATACTGGTAAGGATGCGATAATAGTTCCGTATATCTCGGGAATAGACATCCACCAATTATGGCTTTTAAAAGAAATTCAAAGAAATTCAAGAATGTATCAAAACTTTTAACAAAATCATTACTGACGAAAATCTCAGCATGGGCCGTCTTATGAGTTTGTCATGCTATTATCTAGTTAAATACTTAATGTATCTATATTCAATAGTTAAGTAGGCTTACAATGATTTTTGCACCAGCATTCTATTTCAGGATTGCATCAATAACATTTGTATGCCTCAATAAGAACATCATTTTACAAATCATTTCTATATTAAACAGATTAAATCAATGTCGATGACTTTTCAAGTATTTTTCAGATGAATTAAAAACTTTTACATTAAACTTTTAAAATTGATTGTGTTTTTTTTTCTACCCGCTATTGTGATTATCTATTAAGGCAGAATTTACCAATATTCGTTCCTTAATTGAGGCCGTCATGCGTTGGTTCTTAACGTTCAATATGTTTACTTTTAGACAAAAGTATGTTTGCGAAAGAGCCTCTAACATTATCATCTATGAAACAGAGAATAGCAGATTGACTGGGAAATATCATCAAAAATAATAATCATTGTCTTTTTGTTACAGGTATATTTGAACAGAAGGTTCTTAGAAACCAATCGATACTTAAGAGCACAGATTTACTAAATCACTACACGTTGTTTTAATTGGAATGTTTAACCCAGGCATCAATAGGGACGTCATGTGCGTTATGACGTTGTAATAACTAGTATTTTGTCCTGAGTTGTCCGTGTACTATGTTGATTAACTGCGCACGGAACATTCTATTAAGAAATCTCTGAAGAAATTATTTAAGGAAAGATTTTTTCTAATACGATGAAGATCTTATAGCGGTAAAATGCAATAGTATAAAAATTCAGAAATGTTGACTTTGTTTATTGTGAACTGCCTTGTAAAAATTACAGCACTGAGAAGATGACGACCGTTACTCTGTGGAAAATTCTGCTTTTCTGTTATATCATAGGTAAGTCAAAATGTTTTTTAATTCTTATCAATTAAATAAATGAAAAAATGTTTTACATAATTTGAAGTTATTTTCATTTCTACATTTGCACGTCCCTTTAGAAGAAGGCTTATAGGTGACCTATAGTTGTTAATTTCTGTGTCATTTGTTCTCTTGTGGAGTGTTTCATTGGCGATCATACCACATCTTCTTATTTTTATATTATATGTAAACGTGTGCGTGTTTATGTAATGTTTTAAATTCCTTTCGTATTTTAGAAAAAAAATCTCACCATAGATACATTTGTACCAGGCTTAAAATTTTGTCTACAAAAGAAATCTCTTTGAACCTGTTTGGATTATCATTTAGAATTCAAAACAATTCAAACAAAAGATTGAAAATCGAGTCTTACAAGCTAGTAAGCATACATTTTTGTTGAACATAGTTTTCTCTTTTCTTTCATCTACCCATAAGTCATAGTTCAAAATTTGTTAGATAGATAAAACAAACTATATGTTTATATCGATGATATAATATTCCAAAAGAAGAAAGATTTTGTACTTTAATGTAATGATGATTGCGTTGGTAATGAGGTTCATTATTTATTTATATGTCATAATGACGATGTAACAGGATAAAGACACACAAAGTACTATATTGTAAACCCTAGAGAAGACAAGACGAAAGGTCTCCTGTTTTTGTGTAATGTAAAAGTCTTGAATAATTTTGCAATTTTCACACTAAACGTTTATGAAATTTCTGTAATTATAAATATATTATCGACTTGCATTATTCAACCGGTGTTTGTAAATCCAACTATTAATTTACGTAATAATCTCTCCTCGTATATATATGATAAGGTCAAAGGTTACAGTACTTTACATAACATATTGACTGATTGTGTTGATTGCATCTTGTCTATCTTGTTCACCATTGCAATATATAATTGCTTGTATTTTTTGTCTTCCTCTTGTTACAGTGACTGTCATGAGTGTTTGAATAAGGCCAAAAATGAAATTTAAATTGTTTGATGTTGCCTTCCTACCCACCTAAAAAACTGCCTACCAGAAAAATTTTATGACACACATCGTTTCAATTTTTTTTTTAAAGATTTTTTCCTGCTCTAACGTCTTTTTTTAGTCTGAAACATGTAACTTATGTTATTTGCCAAAACAAATCCTTGCATATATATCTACCCAAACCTACAATGCATGGGTAGGCAACATCAAACAAGGATTTTTTTAAGAGTGGCCTAAAATTCTAAAGTTTTTGTTGGTTTTGGTGGGTTTTTTTTTTTTTTCTTTTTCTTCTCACTTTCAGAAGTTTACAAAAAGATTGAATGAGCAAATTATGAGATAAAACTAGTCGGATATTTATTTTCCTGAACATTTTAAGTAAATCAGGGAAATGAATGCACACAAATTCGAAATCCCCATTCGCTCCAGATTGACATCCAAGGGGAGTTTGTCTACATACCCTTCATTTCGTCCACCAACAAAAATGCTTCGTAGTAGCTTTGGAACCTATCTTGTTTATAATTAAATCGTTAAAAATGTAAAAATATTAGTTCCAAAATATCTTCGGAAGGCCACATAGATTGGACAGTAAGTTGAAATAGAAAAACAAAGGATAAGGGGTTTCCATGATCAATATACAAATTCAGTGTACATGCACAGCAAAAAACACACAAAAAACAAAGGAACAGCACTTTCATTGCTGTTCTTTATCTCAAAGTCACAGCGAGGCCTTCAACACGGAGCAAAAAAAAAAAACAAAAAAAACTTTCACCTCACTGCAAGTTTAAGACGGCCCTAGCACCAATTTGAGCGGAATTCTTTACAAAATGATTCGGATGGACTTTGTAAGATGTATCACTGCCCAATGAAAAGCGTGTCTGATTTTAATGATTTCCACAAACAAATATTTAATCATGGCTGTGTTCATCCGTTCCGTTTTTTTTTTTTTGTTTATTTTTTATGTACGCCCTTGAGTTACCCTTGACGGTCCTTCCGTCCGTCCGTCCCATTTTTTCGTTTCTGCACTCTAATTTAAGTTTGCCTCCTGCAAATTTTATGAAACTCATACACAGTGCTAGGAATCAAAACTTACAAACAGAGCTCGAATTTGGGCAGTGAGTCACTTACCGTTCTAGAGTTTTGTCCCTTCATAACTTGGAAAATTGCATTTTGTTTTTAGTTTCCGCACTCTAACTAAAGTTATCCTCATCCAAATTTTGTGAAACTCATACACAATGCTAAGAACCAAAACTCGCAGACAGAGTTTCAATTTGAGCGGTGACTCATTTACGGTTTTAGAGTTATGCTCCTTTATAACTTGGAAAATTGCAATTATTTTCGTTTCCGCGCTCTTACTAAAGTTTTCCTCATCCAAATTTTACAAAACTCATACATAATGCTAAAAACCAAAACTGACAGATAGAGTTCGAATTTGGGCAGTGAGTCACTTACCATTTTAAAGTTATGCCCTTTATAACTTTGAAAATTGCATTTTTTTTTTCGTTTCTGCACTCTAACTTAAGTTTTCCTCATCAAAATTGTATGAAACTCATTCAAAATATTAAGAATAAAATTGAGAATGGAAATGGGGAATGTGTCAAAGAGACAACAACCCGACCATAGAACAGACAACAGCAGAAGGTCACCAACACTTCGAATTCGAGTTGTAAGTCATTTACCTCTCTAAAGTTTTGCCCCTTTTTAATTTGGAAAATTGCCAAGCTTGATTGGGTGCATTCGTGTCCTCAGACACATTCATCTTTTATTAATCTTAATTTGATGCATGTTAATGAACCCTTTTTGTTTTCGTTGGAACATTTTTGTATTATTGTAGAAATTGTTTAACTCAGGAAGCTTCCGTTTTGTTTATAAATCTAATATGGTATTTAGGATTTTTCACTTCATTTGTTTTATTTATTAATTTTTTATTCATCTAATTTTTATCACAGAATGACGGAAACATGGAGGACTATCGTTAATTATTAAAATTTAGTACGTTTTCACTCGAAATCATTGTTCAATACTTTAAATACGCGCTATTCTTAAATGCCCTGACAGTCATTTCAAAGAATACACATGAAGTTACAATAATCTTTTAACAAGAAAATTAACTTGATTTATGATATTGTTTCTACGTTTATGAGTATTTTATCTTGTCATAAAACTCCCGAGGCATCTTCTGGAATTTCCATGAAACACATTGCTAAATTTTACAATTTGGAATGTTGTTAGACTCAAGACTCGGGTTTTGGGTTGGAAACACAATTCCTCAAATTAATTTTTCACATAAAAGTTTAACTCGGAACTGGCAACTCGTATTCTAGATGTGAGGCGACATTGTTACAAATGAAATCAAATGAGGAGAGTTCAAATATTTCGTATTTCTAAAATCGTATTTTGTTGTCGTGCAAATAATGACAGCATTCGAAGACAGACCACACACGTTACGTATGTAATTTAATGATAACTTCCACAAATGTATATTTATAGATATCTTTGCAAAATATGAAAATCTAAAAATAGTTCATAGAATTTAGAATGGAAACGGGGAATGTGTCAAAGAAACAACAGCGCGACCAAAGAGCAGAAAACAACCCAAGGCCACCAATGGGTCTTCAACGCAGCGAGAAAATCCCGCACCGGAGGCGGGCTTCAGCTGGCCCCTTAACAATAATGTATACTGGTTCAGCGAAATAAATTTCTTTCTTGATTCTGTCGTCACATGTGAACTTTACAGCTTATCTCTGCAGACAAGTTGAAGAATACAATATAAATGCTGTTCGTTTGATGTTTGCTTATTTTTGGTATATGTTTGGGATCGTCATATCCCGCACGTTGCAGGTGCGTTCGACTCCAATCTTAATCGACTAGGATTGCCAATTTCCCCGCTGAAGGTCGGTGGCTCCTGCCAAGTCCTGACAGGGGAAGTTATACCAGATGTCCATTGCGAGAAAGTAACACGATCTCTGACTCTTTGAGGGAGTTGTAGGTGATTTGTTGTGAGTCAATATGTCACATTTGTCTTCTGTCACCAGTAGCAGTCCATTAGCAATTTCCCCGTCCTCTACCCAATTCGACACATTTACACCTGACTAACTTATTGGTTAATTTGTTCAAAGTCTTGAATATGCATGCAAATATTTGTAACTTGAAATTGAAGTTAGCAAACAACAATGAACCATTTTCACACTTATGACTTATACCGTATACTTTCATAGACTTTTGTTGCATTTTCTGTAGTTAAATAGCCATGAAAAAAAAATGTTTCTAATTATATGCTCTTCATAACTATGCTAGCAACAAATATTGTAGTCGTCATTCAAGTTTTTATTTTTGTAGGGATGGATAAGTTTGCATATGCCAAACTATATATTCCCAATGTCTCCTCCCCTTACCTTCCATTAAACTTTAAAAAAATCCCAGGACCTTATATGAAAACGACTCCCGTTTTTTGTAGATAACTTAAACAAATTGTTTAGATAGCCTGTACTTCTGGTTAACCATATTAGACAACTACATCAAATTTCTGTCATAAAGATTGTACTTGACATTTGTACTCATTTTTATCCAGCAGCAATGACATTATCGTCTCTATATCAGGATCTAGGTTATACAAGTAGAATTAATTCTGTTCTTTGTACGATATTTTCCAGTGTAAGTTTTTATTCTGTGATTCTGCAGCTAAAGGAATTACACCAAAAGGCTTGCGTTTCAGTTAATCTGTCCTTCTAATTGAATATTATCATAATAAATGAAATCTAAAATCTAATTTACAAGTTAACAGCGACATGTTTTTAATACTTATACATTGTGTGCAAAATATGTGTGAAATCTACATATCTAAATTCTCATAACTTAAAATGCAGGCAATTTTCTGATAGAATAGTAATTTCAGAACCACCCTAGAAGTTGAAATTGCCTCATGTTACGAAACCAAGCTTCATATTCATATTAAATTAAGTCCTTATAAGATAAGATGTGATTCGGATGATAATTCTCAATGTC